TAACGAAAAGAAAACGTTATATTTATACACAGATACGTAAGTTTCGTTTACGAATTACATCTTATCGTGTTTGCACGGCTATTCTACGAATTTGTGAATTGAAAGCACTTTTTCTTTTATTATTTTTGTTTTACTCTTATTATTCTTTTTTCTCTTTTTTAATCTAAAAATATCAATTAATTTTTTTTTACTTTTTTGTCTGTTTTTTTTTTTTGTATTTAGTGTTTTATATACATACATACTTAATAATCAAAATTAAATAAATATTTATTTTAAAATTAATGTTTTTACTTGTATTGTAAAAATTCTAGCTAGGCTAACTTTTATGTAGAAAACAATTCAATTAAAAGTCATTACTATAATAAAACAATTCATTATAAATTAATTTACATACACTTAGCTATTTGCTTAATTCATTTAAAATTTTAGAATAAAAGTTAAATATAAAACAATGTAATTGGCTCTTTGGGAACATTTAATTTTGCGGAATATACTTTTATAAGTATGTACTAGCATTGGTTATAGAATAGCTATGAAAGAATATCTACTTAATGATATTAGTTAAGTTTTGTATACGTTAAGAATTTCATTAGTTCCACAACTATTTTTGTCTACTTAAGTATACTTTAAATGCTTATTACTTAACATAATATCATTTAATAAGTATTATTTACGTTAACTTTGTGGATAAGTATAAACTTACTTATGTACCTACCTCGGTATTGTGTCAAAATTATTAACGCAAGGTAAACACAAAAAATTCGGCGCAAGATTATTTTAAACACAAAGTTAAATACATTTTAGACTTATTTCATAACAAGAAAATAGAAATATTTAATTACTTCGCAAAATTTTCAGTTTCTCAATATTGAAAAAAATAAAAGTTTTGTCGAGTAAGAAATTACAGTGGAACATTATTTTAAATAAAATTGAAAATAATGTGACTTGGATTGGAACAGAGTTGACTTTTTGAAAAGAATCTGTAAAAAATTTATTGCTTTATTTATTTATGCTTTATTTTGGTTTGACACTAAAAAATTTCGAAACTTATAAGTACTTGGCGGCAGACACTTTGAAAACTGGTTTTATTCATTAAGCATTTAGAATTGTTCAATTATGTAAATGAGCGTAAATCACTTTAAAGTTTAAATACTATATTTACCTTGTAGACGTAACATTTATATTTTTTTAAGTCTCTTCTACTCCCGTGTCTTATTGCAAGCAACAACTTCTTACTTGAACGACATACATATGTCGACAAATTGACGACAGTTCAAAGAATAGAATTTCATGATATATTTTCTTAATATACGAATATATCATACTCTCTCATATTCTTATCACCTGGTGAAAAAAAGTCATATATAGAGTTAGGCCATAAATTAAATCCTAATTCCTTATAAACAAACAAGACAGTACTTATTGGTTTAACAAAATACTACTAAGGTTTCAACAAAGATTAATTTCAAAAATATTGTATTCCAATATTTAATTAACTTTTTGCGCATTATTACAAGCTTAAATCCGTAAAAATGTTGTTACGTACATACATATGTACATATTTTTATTTTTTCTTAGATATCTAAGAAAAATCTTACATTTTATACATAAGTATGTATGTATGTATTACAATTTTAATAATATGTTATTGAAGTATTTTAACCCCAATACTTTTAAAACATTTTCAATTAAATAACTAAAATAATATACGAAATCAATTGACATCAATTGATCCTTATTAAAATATTAAAATAAAATTCTTTTTTTTATAACTCAAATAAACTCTGACAATAACAAGCTTAAACCATTGTTAAATTTTTACATATTATTTTCTGTTTTGATTTTAGTATGCTTACGCAAGAAATCATAATATTGTAGAAATTTACAATTTTAGGTTCTAAGCATATGCACTTATAAATATTTAATAGCTAAGTGCATGTTAATAATTATATTATTTTTAATATTACTTTGAATTATGGAATTGGTTTTTAATTTGAGGCAGCTTTCTAGTTTATATTGAAATTTTTATATGTTTTATGAAAATATGTTAATATTTTCTTAATGTTAATATTCTCTTATTTAGAACTCAACAATCAATTGTAGATTGAAGAACAAATTATAAATTAAAAAACTATTTAAAGAATTATTATATAAACAGAAATATTGCATATAAATTTTAAAATAATGAATCTTGTATTCTGTTTTGGCTAATGTACAATTGAATCAGGACAATTTGACTAAATAATGTTAAAAGGAAACTAGTTCAGTGACCAGCGTTTTGAATATTCATGAACAGTAGATAATAGTTTTACTTGTTAAAACGTTTTCTTTTAATATTCTATAGAAATTACACACTTATTATTGCTTATGAAAGTTATTGAGAAATTTCTTGAAATAAAATAAAATTTTGATTAATTGCATAATTGCTATTTGATCACAAATCTCATTTTTATAATGCAACTAATAGTCAGACATTATAAAAATATTTAAAGAAAAAGTCGATATAAAAGTAAGATAAACATTGTAAATAAGTATGAATATTCAATATAATATGTATATCTTATCTCTTCAATTAAAATTTTAAGCAGTCCGAAAGACAAACCGTTTTGAATTAGGTACCTACTTAATATATTATATTGTATTCCATATTGAGTCCCCATAACAATTTTATAATAGCATTATTACTAAATAGATAAATATTTCTCCAAAGTGTATAATAGTTGATATTTAGTAAACGGAAGATTACATGCCAATTAAAAAATGAATTTGCATTATAGATAGCGGTAAGTAAATGGGTGAAAATTTAAAAGTTAGCACATTTGCGTCACAAAAAAGTAAGCTTAAATAAATACTTTTTTAGAAAATAAATCAAATTTTAATTAATAAAATAAAAATTATAAAATCTTTAATTTTAAATAAAAAAAATTTTTAGATTGCAAAAGCAAGTATTTTTGGAAAATTTTGGAAAATTGTCGGAGCGCGTTTTCTGTTTTCATATAAATGAAACTTGTCACAGACCACATTTTTAATTTTCAATTTAAATTTTCATGAACTTCCTCCACAGAAGGATATATTTTAAATTATATTGCAAAATTATTTCATTATTTTTAAATAAAAATCAAAAATTAGTTTTTAAGTTTTAATTTATTTTAATGTCATTTTAACAGAAAAAAAGTGTGTAACAAGAATTGTTCAACTGCGTTACTTCAACTATGTTACATCATAAAACTTTTTAAAATTAATAATTTTTTTAAATATTTTGGCATCATTATTTGTTTTAAAGAATACGCAATAAGTCTGTTCGGGCTTGTGGTGAATGTTGTTCCAAACACATCGCTGGAGATAGTTTGAATTTTTTTTGCCGTGAATGTAAAACGCTTTTTTCAACTGTGTTACGTGGTTTTTGTTTAAATATTTTTTTCAAAAATTCAAAAAAGTGGCATATTATTAAGCAAACCAAGTAAACTAACCAACTGTATACTTTAAAATGCAAAAATATGTTGTAGTTTTAGGTTAATATACTTTTTATTTTAAAATATTCTACTGCGTTACTGTTCAACTGTGTTACTAAATTTAAGTAACACTACTGAAGATATGGTAAGAAAGTTGATTTTTAAGGCAGTTTACTCTAACTTGGTGAATAAATTCTTAATAATTTTACATACAAATAGGCGATAACATATTTTATTGATTATTATACAAAATGCCACTATCTATTTATATTTTAAATATGTATATTGTTAAAAATGCAAATGAAAAACTTAACCGAATATATACAACTTCAACGAGAGGAAAAAAGTTAATATCTTAGCATATTAAACAACAGCATGAAATTTACTGTTTTTGTTTTAATTTTTTTTGTTAATATACTGAAGACTGAATCAAATTTTTCAACAGTGTTACTATATTTTCCACTGCGTTACTGTTTTGTCACAAAAAAAATCAAAAAAAAATATTGTTTTAAACTTTTTTCTTCAAATTTAAGCTCTTAATTTTTTTGTTATGGACATTTTTAGAATAAAAAATTAATTTCTAAAGCAGTTATGTAAAAATTCCTGCAAGAAAAAAACTGTTAAATAGTTTTATTTTAAAAATAAAAACTTTAAATTTAAAATTAGTAACACAGTTGAAATAACTTATTATTTATTTTTTTATAAAAATGATTTTTCAATATTACAGAATAAATTTATTTATAACTTTAATTACAAATGAGAGTAAAATATGAAAATAATAATTTCCACTGAAGAGATCGAAAAATTTAAGATATTTTTATCGGTAACGTAGTTGAACTAAATTCAAACCTGAGCTTACTTTTTTGGTTATAATTTCTAAAATATTTACAAAACCTCCGGACCACTTGAGGAGATTGTACATTATATATTAGGCAACTATAAAAAAATTATTTTAATAAAAAATTCTAAAAAAATAATTTGGAAAAAAAAAAATTCATTTGTGCAAACTTTTAAATTTTGACCCAAATATTAACCAAGTATTGTTGCACGTATTAAATAAATTACTTATATTAACTTATAAAATAAAGCCCTTTTATCTAATTTATTGATTTGTTTCTAGATAAATAAGTGCATATTTATGACGCACTATTATAGAACACATTATATTACACCCGTTTATATATACTTAATATATGTATATGTATTTAAAGGGTTTGTTAGGAATAAATCTAAAATATATTCAAAATTATTGATTTTATCAATAAGCAATTCGTATCAAAGTAAAAAAAAGTAAATAAATTTTGATCTCTCATAAAATAATATGAATATTCAACTTTGACAAGAATACATAACATTTTTCTTCAATGATAGCTCCGTAAACCAGTGAGCTAGGCTGAAATAGATAAGGATAGCAAAACACCTAACAACAAAATATCGATATAATACGTAACAAAATCAAGTACTTTTTTTCATTCATTTAAGTAGCTATAAATAAAACAAAACAAAATAAAATTGTTAAAATTTCATCAATTTTAAAGTAAAACTTACTAAATTCATGACTAACAGCTTGTGACATTGCTTCACTTAATAAATTATATGAATTTTTATGATGATCTAATTGTCCGCTACCAGCGGTAACAGCATTCGACGATAAAGATGTGTAAACACTACCACTTCCACTATTACCACCAATGCTACCGCTAACCCCAACTCCAATTCCAATACTACCAGCAGCATTTTTACTAACTGTTCCTGACGATGGTGGCAATTGTGACTGTGGCGCCGATGATGGATAATTTTGTGAGTGCTGCTGTTGTTGTTGTTGCTTTTGATGTTGTTGTTGTTGTTGATGATGGTGCTGTTGCTGTTGTTGTTGATGCTGTTGATACGATGGATGATAGTTTTGATGGTACTGATGTGGTGGATGATATTGTGAATTTACTGATCCAATAGTAGAAGATGCTCTTTCCTCAAGAGCACCGCCACCACCACAAACAAATAAATTTTGAGGTAATATAAATAATTCAAATATCACAAGTAATAACCAATATAGATTCATGGTGCAGCATTTATGTTTTAATTGTTATTTTTATAAATATTTTCTTATTTTACTAAAATTAATTTTTCCTATATATACATACATATAAATATTTACATAAGTAAATAAAATGTTTGTTGTAAAATAAGAGTAAAAATTAACTACTTATTTGTTTCCTTTTTTTCTTTTTGGTTTTCTTACGTATTTTTGTCATTTAAAAATATATTAATATTTATAGAGAAGCTTTTCTTTTCCATTATTTTTATTCATTTTTGTTTTCATTATTTTTAGTAATAAGTTTTTTAGCTAAGGCTTTTATAATTAAAACACGTTACCGGCTTTTTAATTAATTTAATACTCAATTGTTTTTAAGAAATTTTGAGAATTTCTTTCTTATTTTTTTTAAACACTGCAATTTAGGAAAACAATTTATTATTTCATACACATATTTTAATATTATTTTTTATTGGATGAAATATTTAGCAAAACTTTTGAACACAACTATTTGTTTATTAAAATAAAGATGTAAGTTCCTAGCTACTTAAGGTTCTTTTAAGTTGATATAGAATGAGGATTTTATCTCAGAAGATTTTTACCTACGCTAAAACCTAATGGTTATTTTAATACATAATTACTTTGGTGTTGAATATACTGAGTTGACATAACACTGAAATATCTGACCATTACATACTTTGTCTATTGCATTAACCTAATCGATTAATTTAATATGTAATATCATATGGCCAGTTAGAATTTTATTATTAGCCGCCTACGTACCTAACAAACTACCCCCTATTTGTTATACAACCTATTTTGTTACTAAATATTTTATAGTAACCGTATAATAGCTATCGTTCGTGAAAAAATTCACTTAACTTGTTGTCAATTCTTAGAATTTTTTTTATAAAATTGGAAAAATATTTTTGAAATTACCTATAATAATTAATTAAGAATGATTGTGTTATAGGTAAAAGTGCCTTACATGTATTTTACATTTATTAAACATAAAGTAGATCCTACACCTATCTTGCTACTTATATACGTTATGTACATGTGCTAACAAATATGTATTGGATAGTATTATGCAAAAATATACTTATAATTAATATGTACTTTTTGCATTGCTATGTTCAAATATTAATTTAGGTTTATAGATAGATACGTACATATGTATAGGTTTATACTTTTACCAACCTATATTAAATACTTATACTTGAAAGTACAAAATTTATAGATATTTTATAAATAAACAAAATTTGCAATTTTAAAAATTGAAACGAAGAAAAAAAAAATAAATGAAATATACGTATGTGTAAAATAATTTCTGCAAGAACACGTCATTAATTTAGGTTCGTTTTCATACAAATTTTCTATTTTCGTTTGCCTATTTGCCAATCCATTTATACATTTTTGTTAATAACTCTTGCTTATTCTGATACAAAAATAACGCTTTAACCATTAATAAACGTAACCATATAGGTGGGTAGGGGTTTACATAACTATTATACATGCTTTAGAAAAAGTAGATAATAGTTTTACTTGTTAAAGCGTTTTCTTTTAATATTCTATAGAAATTACACACTTTATCTTATCGTTTATGAAAGTTATTGAGAAATTTCTTTAAATAAAATAAAATTTTGATTCATTGCATAATTGCTATTTGATCACAAATCTCATGTTTAACTCAGTAATAGAAATTTCTTTCTAAAGCTAAATAACTGATAATTAAAGCAGCAATTTAAAAAACAAATTTATGTCGGTACCTACCTACCCACGTGCATACATACTACCAAAAACTATTTATAAGTATAATTCGGAATAATCCCAAATTATGAACCGATTACTTAAAAACTCCGGCGGTATAGTAAACATAGATCTTGCAAGATACACTTCGAATATATAAGTATGATAGATAGGTACCTAGATATTTATAAACAATAAATCTCCAATAATGTATTAGAATAAAATACAATGAAGCCGCCTCCACTAAAATTTTATATTTGCGTACACCTAAATCACTGATTTTTTAATATGTGGTATTTGGCTGATGCATATTATCTTGTCAAGGTAGTAAAATTAAAATATAACGGTTAGAATAATCTTAAATTTATGTATTACATATTATAAGATATATGCATGTACTTAGTATTTGGTTTTCTGTTGATTTTTCTTCTTTTATGCAATTATGAAAACGATCCTTAATATTTTTGCACTTGACAATTTTCGTATGTATTCTCTTCGTTTCGTTTCTTTAAAAATCTTTTCAACACAAGAATATTTTTTTAACTTTATTTTACTATTATAAATTTAATCACAAAATTGATCACTCTAAACAAAACATAAGAAAGCAATAATATAAGAAGCACAATAATTCTACAAGTTATAAAATTGATTTCAAAAGTTTTAAATTTGATTCCAATGATTACTAATATAAATTTGGTTTCAACCTTTGGCCGGGACAGTCGAAATTTTGCTTCGCAGATGACCATTAATCGTCATAAAAAAAAATTTTTCCTTACTTTTCAGATTGTTAGATCGCGTTCTATATATTTTTTTTTGTCTTTTCAAATAATAAAATTTGATTTCCAATTACTAATAAAATTTTAATTTTTGAATTGTTGTACGTAAACACAATATAATTAATCATCTATTTTTAAGTTTTTTTGCCAAATATAAACTCCATTATTCTGAAATATTTACGAGACCGATAACTTTCATTCAAATAATATATATAGACTGGATCTTTTCTCAAAAAAAAAAAAAAAATATTATGCGCTTCTAAATGTCATCTTAAATGTCATAAGAGTTTATGTTACATTTTTTGAATATCACAGTTTGACGTTTGTTATTTTGAAATTCGAGGTATAATAAGAAACGCTCCCGAAACTTGAACGAAGTAGGGATGAACACGAAAATAAAAAAATAGTAAATTTTCCTTTCGCATTTAGAACTGAGCAATTCGAAGTCGCAATGATTTTTCACCTGATGTTTTTTGCTGGTTTGTTCCATTTAAAATGATCTGATTTTTCTAATTACACTTTAATTGACGTTTTCAAAAGCCTCGATAGTCGATACCAAAATTTACCCGGTACCAAAAATTACTTTGATTCATTTTTTTGAGAGAAAAAACCTGCATTAAATACGTCGTCGCGTTATTTCACATAATTTTTAAATTAGGTTAAATATTTAAAGAGGGCGTGAGGTCGCTGGCCGTTTACACTGCAGAGAAAGGTCATGAAAATTATTACGAAAAAAGACGATACCAGGGAACAATCTAAAATGAACAATGAATTTGGTATGAACATGAGCGTTAAAAAAAAGTGTGACCAAAAAACATATTTTAAAAAATTAAAAAAGAAATGCAAACCTAAAGCCAATCATTACAAAATTTTGCGAGATATACTTAACTACTTATATAGATCAAATTTTCCATAGCTAGTTAAATTTTTGAATCGCAATGTTTGCTGAGTATCAAAAAACTGAACTTTACAGCTTGAAACGTCACATTGTAAAAAGCTTTTGATATAATATACATATGTATATTTTCAATATCTCGAATATTTTCAATAAATCGAATTTTCATTGAATTTATGTTATTATCATGAATATATATCGGCGCATATAGTCATAGACTCCTATAATGTAAAGATGTCTGTGATATAGTGCGCTCACTCAAATGATCATTTTCTCATAACTTTCTATTTAAATAATGTAATTTCCCCTACGCTGTTTTTATACAATGTAGTTCGTGGCTAAACATTATTTATTGGGTATTACTATATTAGATACTTTCCTGGCTTTGAAATTTTTGAACCGTTTATAGATAATGTATTTTCACTTAACGCACCATATTTTTTGTTCCAAAATATGTATACGTTACCAGTAGTATTACTGTACAGATTATTATAACATAATTTACTATTTTTGTGTTATTTGATTGATTAATTTAGTTTGATTTATTTTTATAATTAATATTGGTGCTTATACGAGTTAATACTGTTAATATGTCCGAACATTAAAATTTTTGTAAAATTAAGCTCAATTAGTGTTATTGAAAAATATTAAAAAACAGGTAACAACTTTTAACATTTATATATTTTTGTGAAATTGTTATCTGAATTATAATTTTATTAAAGGAACAAATATTTCAAAAACTGTTTTACAAATAAATTATAAATCAATTATAGTAAACGATTTTTCCATGTAACAAAGATCACAAAATAGCGCTCATTTTTTGTAATTTATTACAAGTTCATAACCACACTGACAAAATATTTTTATTAATTAATGCGATTGTTTTCCACATAATATCATCTATGATACGAAATGTGTAAAATCAGATGTTAGTCCTACAAATATTGCTAATTTTGGGGTGACTGAAGAAGCTTCTAAAGGACTATTAACTGCTAAGTGTTTATCATCATCCGGCATTACCTTTAATCAGATTAAAAACGTTAAATATGAAAGTTTTAATTATACAAAATTTACTTTATCTGCAACATGTTTCTCTATAAGTCCATCTTCGCCTAAGTACATAATTGAAAAACCATCATACCAACTGCACACGTTATGAAATAAAACAATTAGAGTAATGTAGAAATAAATATAATTTTATAATAAATTAATTAAAATAATACATACGCTTCTTGATCTTCAAATATATCTTTCACTTTCCATAATTTGTATTTCCAAAATTGAAACATCACCTTGAATATTTAAATTTTTTTTAAATATTGAATAAACTTTCGGTTGTACATATAATATAGTCACATAATTTATTATAATAAAAATAGGAAGATACGTATGAATGCCTATTGACTAAATTTTTGTACAAAATTTATATAAAGAGGATTCGGAAAAGATTTTAGAAAGTTTAAAAACATTACAAATTTAATGTTTCAGAAATATGAATTCGATTACTTACTACAGATGATTTTTTTTTTATCCTACTTCGCTCCTAGGAGGAGCATAGGGTTGGTGTATGATTATTGTATATAACCATGAACCAGTTTCTGACGTCATTGGGCTTACTAGGTAGGTGACGAACCTACCGTAGTTTTTTCTTTATATTAGATATTTATGGTAATTTATATTTACTGTTTTTATTTTGCTGGTATTTTTTTTTAATATTGAATATTATTGAAATATGGAAATTAGTTAATATTAATTTTTTTTATTTTTTTATGTAATGCCTATAAAGCTATATAATATTGAAAATAATTTTTATAGTGACCTGACTGGGCTCTTTGAACCACAGACCCTTCAGTTAAAGGACCAGTGCAATAACCACTGCACCATTGGTAAGGTTACTACAGATGATTACTTACTTTTAATCCAGATACACCTCTAACCCTCCATCTAATTTTTATTGTTAGATCCTCAGGATGCTTTGTAATTTTAAGAATTTCAAACTTGACATAAGCATATTTTAAGTGTCCTACAGTTCTTAATAATGCAACTTGTTTAATATAATGATATAAACCTCTACCAAAAAAAATTTAATTAATTTTTTTTTCTTTATTCACAACTACAACTTACACTGTTCGCGTTCCTCTGATATTATTTTCAAAAATTAAGTTAGGACTATATATAGAATAATCTAATGGTTGTATGAATAGATTTGGTAATGTTTTACTTAAAACATCATAAGCACGATTTAAATGTTCGAAATTTTTTTGATTTTGTTGATTTTGATTACTGGAAGATGAATTAATTTGTTCCTAAAATGTGAAATCTTGTATTAGTTTTCCAGGTGTAAAATTTGATATATGTAGTACCAAACTTACAACTTTAGAAATTTCAACATTATTTATTGGTTCGTTTTCATTTATTTTTGGATCAATTTTGTGACTCAATAATCGTTTCGCTGATAGAACATAAGGCCTTTGAATACATGTTATGAGACTTTTGTGAAAATATGTAGTTGTATCAGTATTTGGCTGAAAAATTGTAAACAAAATGTTATTGCAATACCGTTTTATATAGGTTATGTTTATTTTAAGCAACAAGGATAATGTTGAAACTTTAAAAAATCAAAAACCAAAATTATGTAATACATTTCACTTTTTAATGAATTAAATACTTTTTTGATTTAAATAAGAAAAAAGTAACAATTCTATACTTACAATCACTGAATAATATGCGCACTGATTATTTAATACATCTGAAGTTCGACTAAAACTAAAATTCCTAAAATGTGTAAATTTACATGTAAGCTTGTGGTTATGTACAAATAAGCGATACAAAACAGCCATCCTTAATAGAACTTCATATATGCACCTATAATATTAAGAACTAATTTATTTAATTCTTAAAATAAAAATAATAGCAACGCTAAGGTTATTAGTGAACTAGATTTTTGACATTAATTAGAAAAAATTTGGAGGAGTGTTTGAAATGTCCAATAGAAATGCCAAACCGTTTGACATTTTTGTGGTATACATTTTTTTATTCGAGCAGATGTTTGCATACGGACTTCTCAGCCTTTTCGTTCTTAAAACATAACATATTAGTGTTGGAAATATGTAAGGTTAAAAGAAGAAGATTAGAAGAAGGTAGGTTTAGATAGCTTTTTTGTTTTTTTTGTGAATATTTGGTTTTATTTTGGATTAAAATAAATCTATGATTTAATCCAAGATAAAATCCGTTGAGCATTTTACAACAGATTCATTTTAATACCTTCAAGCTTGTAACGGTAAATGTTTCAAATTATGTATGAAAAATATTTATAAATATTTTAAAAATATTATAAATATGTATAAAAATATTTAAAAAATAACAACAAAAATCAATTGAAATTGATAATAGAACACGACCGATTTTCAAAAGTAAAATGTTAGAATTCATATAAAATACAAATATTTAAATGGGACTGCCGCTTTTATTTTGGATTAACCACGAAAATCGTCTGCCGTTTGCGTTCATCGGTTTGGTTCTGCTTTTTTTTACAGTTACTAGACCGGGGAATATTTTTAAGAAATTTTGTTTTTACTATATTATTTTTACAAATTTAATATGAAGTCCAACGATGTAAGCACATTGATACGCTGAATGAAGATATCCTCAATGAAGGGAAAAAAATTCAGTTTGCAACCAATTTGACGATGCTCAAGAAAAACCATCTATAAAAAACAAACCTCAATGTTTGATTAATGTTGTTATAAAAAAATGAGTTTAAAACAGCAGAAATTTTGAAAATTTTCCTTTACATATGTGTTTGTTGCTTTTGTTGGTGATTCTTCGTACGGTCCAGAAAGTTATGTTTGGTTAAAATATTGAGTATAAATTTTTCAATAGTCTAATCTAATGGTCTTGTAAGGCACAATTCATCTTTTCGTTCCTTTGTATTAAAATCTTTTAAGGTCTAATGCCCAACAGGTCATTTCTATTTCTATACATAGATTTAAATTTCCTTTTAAAACAGACGTCACAATTTTCTTTTATTGTTATCTACATGTGTTTTGACTGTTTTAAGACAAAATAGTTTTTTTTTGGCTTAAATTTTTTCGTTTAAGTTCTGTTAGTCAGAGAAACGGAAAAGTCTGAAAGAGAATGTAGGTTTGACTAACACCAAACCTTGTGTTCATTTTATTTTCATATTTTATCTTTTCTAAAATTTTCTGAGCTGCTAATATCATAAATATGTAATAATGAAAATTAGTATTATTTTGGTAATGGGGTCTCAACAAAAAGTTTTTAGACTATTGCTTGTGCTAAGATGAAAACTTATAGATCAACTCAACCCTTTAAAGACTATTACAATAAGATATTTTGATACATTTGGCATTTCTGGCAATAATTTGTTGACAATTATGACGTCTTACAATCTAAACTATAGAAATCAGTTGGGGAGAAATGCTTTTTGTTTATGGTTAAGAAAGTTTTTTTTTATTTTTAATTTAACAAAATATCAAATAATTTAGATAAATAAATTGTACAAAATTTGATGGCTTTTCCAAATATTAATGCTCAACAAGGTACAAAATTAATTTAAAAATAATTAAGTATTGTGTTTTTGTTATCTATTATTTTCAAAAAAAAAAAAAGTATTTGCTGGTACAAAACAATAAGTTCAAACAAATTGTCAATAAAGGTATAGGTATTATAAATATGCACACTGTGTTGCACAAACATACATAGATCAGTCTATACTTAAATCATATTCATAGTGAAGTAGGTACATAATCAATAAAACAAATATGCCTATATAAACTAAATGATATTAGTTTATATATAAATGCTTCTGTTTATACATGATTTTGATTTATACCGGCTATTTTTTGCTTCAATCTTGTTCAACGTTTTTTTTAATTTACAGAAACAAATAGAAAAATTTTAGAAGATTTGCAACTAAAGAAGCAACTTTTACAAAAAGGAGTTTCTCCAGCAAATTTAACATCACCGAGCATGACACAGGTAATAGTGATTAAACCATAATGCACAAGAAAATTTATGTAGGTCAAACTTTTGAATAAACTTTGAAAATGAAAATATACCTACATACATTACATATACATTTATATAATTTATCTGTAGTTCATGCCCACAAATCAACAAACATCTAACATACAAGCACCCGATCAGATACCATTAAATTCGACTGCGCGAACTGCTTGGCAGCAAGCAACAACACAGTCTTTTGGATTTTTTATACCCACTGACTCTGCTTTCGGAAATATAATATTACCTGTCCTACCACGTTGCGACACCCCAAAATAACAGTTAATGGTAAATAGCAATATGAAATAGAAATCATTAATAAAAATAAATTTATTTTTCTTTAGTAGAGGAAAAGAAAAACTTTAAGCAGTCAACTTAAGCAAACTTTTAGAAGAAAAAAATACATATACTTATATATACACGTATACATGTTTTAATTGTAAATAGTTTATTTTTTTCTATTTTTAATAAACAATTTAAGAACAAAATTTTACCTTGGAAGAAGAAAATTTTATAAATAATTTTAAATATGGCTAAACTAAAATTGAAGAAATTAGAAGAGTATCTTCAAGATACTGATAGTTTTGAAAATCCTAAAGTAAGCTTAGAACAATACCCAACGCCTTCACATATTGCTAGCTATATGTTGTATAACATGCAGGTAATTTAAATTTTTATTGTAAAACTGACAAAAATTTTATTTGGAAAACTTATTAGTTTATGTATGGTGATATTGAAAATAAAATAATTGGTGATTTGGGAAGTGGATGCGGAGTTTTGAGCATAGGTGCTTCTTTACTGGGTGCGTCGCAAACGATTGGGTTCGAAATTGATAGGGAAGCAATAGAGGTAAATTTTTGGTAATTTTGTTTTTCAAAAATTTTGTCGCTAATAATAATTAAAAATTTCTAAAATTTCTTTAAGATTTGTTTAATTACTTGATTTATATTGGGTAATATATCAAAATCTTCCAAGAATTCGAATTAAAGTTATTAATTTAAAACTTTGCAACTTTCAACAGATTTTTCGCAATAATGTCGTTGATATGGAAATACCCTCGATTGACATTGTTCAAATTAATGTTTTGAATGGTCTCAAAGATTCTAGATGGACAAATATTTTTGACACAATAGTAATGAATCCACCATTCGGGACCAAAAATAATGCTGGTATGGATATAAAATTTTTAGAGACTGCTATAAATCTTTCTAACAATGCCGTCTACTCATTGCATAAAACTTCAACAAGGTACGTAGATATAATCCTGTTCATAAAATATTTAACTTTCAAAGATTTATAAAAACAAATTGCTTTATAGGGAGTACATATCAAAAAAGAGTAAAGAATTAAAGTGTAAAGCTGAAGTTGTGGCTGAATTACGATATAATATCGATTCCCTTTACAAATTTCACAAAAAATCTTCGATAGATATTGAAGTTGATTTTTGGAGGTTTGACACTAGTAATAAAGACAATTTGTAACGAAAAAATAAAGATTAGGAAAAATTGGAAGTTGACTCTTTTCATTTTTTGTTTAAAAGCTTAAATTTTTCAAAATTTTTAATGAATTTCGTAGATAAGATATCACATCTTATCAAATTTTCATAACAATTTATATTCCTTTTTGAAAAATTAAATTAACGAATTTTGATGGGGGGTTAGAAGACTTAATTCATACTCTCAATTGTATAAAGATTTGTACGCCAATTCGTTCCTGTTGTATGTTGTATATAAAATTATTTTTATTATAGTTAAAAAAGTATTATATTTACTTAAGACAATTAAAGTGGGCTATTGCAATGAATTTATCTACACATCGAATTCAACACCTTGTGCTCGTGCAATTTCACCAGAATGATTAATTGTAATAGTAGCTCTTGTACAGTATTGTTTCCATGAATCAGAGCCAGATTCACGACCACCACCAGTTTGTTTCTCACCACCGAACGCTCCACCTATTTCAGCACCATTTGTCGTTGTATTTATATTAACAATACCACAATCAGAGCCATTTGGTCCAATCCATTTAAATGCATTTGATATATTTTCAGTAAATAACGATGATGAAAGTCCTTGTTCTACCTCGTTATTCCAACTAATTGCTTCATCGATTGATTTAGTTTTCAACACATATACAATAGGTGCGAATGTTTCTTTATGTACACATACAGAATTATGTGGCAGATTAGATATTATCGTAGGTTCCACGTAAAAACCTGGTTTTTTAATTACATTGCCGCCGAATTCAATTTTTCCACCAGCTGTTTTTGCTTCTTCTATTGTCTCCTTATAATCTTTAACTGTTCCCTCTGTGTGAACTGGTCCATAAAGTGTGTTTGGATCCAATTGATGTCCTAGTTTTGTCATAACCTAATTTAGAAAAATTTAAAATAATGGTAAACAAACTAAACATTGTATCTGCTACGTTATCTATTTTTCAACTCACTCTTTGATATTTTCCTACCAAACGGTTTACAAATTCATCATATACTTTTTCATGAATTATGATTCTTCTAGTAGTAGTACATCTTTGCCCGGATGTACCAATGCAGCCAAATAAGGCTGCATCTAAAGCTAAATCAAGCTTTGCGTTTTCGTCAATTATTAATGCATTGTTTCCACCCAGTTCAAGGATAACTTTTCCAAAACGCTTTTGGACTTCCATACCAATTGTGCGACCTGTTCCACAACTTCCTGTAAAAGATAACAGTTTAACACGTTCATCTGTTACCATTTGATTTCCAACAGATGAGCCTGCTTGACATAGTGTAATAACTGGTGGTAAATTATTTCTTTTTAAAACTTCTGTTACTATCTTTGTCGTTGCTATTGAAACTAAAGAAGTAGTTGAAGCACCTTTCCAAAGGACGGAGTTACCAACAGCCTGCGAAAAACATTGTAAAATATAAATTATTATTTTTTATTGAGAATTTAATACACATGTATTAGTTAAAATAATTATTATTTTATATCGTTTACCATAGCAATAGCAGCATTCCATCCAAATACTGCGTTTGGAAAATTAAAAGCGGAAATAACACCAATTAAACCTAAAGGTCTCCAGTTTTCCAGAATTGTATGAGATTTTCTTTCAGATTGTATTACTTGTCCTGAATAAATTCGTGATAAACCGACAGCATAGTCGCAAATGTCAATGAATTCTTGCACTTCACCTTGTCCTTCACTAGCAATTTTACCAACTTCAAGACTAACTAATTTACCTAACTGATCTTTATATTTACGCAATTCATCACCAATTTGACGTACAATTTCACCACGTACAGGTGCTGGAACATTTGCCCAATCCTTTGCTGCTTTCGTTCCAACAGCTAAGCATTCTTCCATTTCAGTTGGACTTCCACATTTTACATTAGCTATAGTCTTACCAGTGCCAGGATCTATTGCCTTAATAATATGTCCAGTACCTTTCCATGAACCGTTATATACACCACAATTTGTTGATTCTAAACCAATATCTTTCAAAAAACTATATTCTGATGAATCAATCAAAAGATCATTTAAACGAGTTGAAGTTGTATGAAAATTTGCCCCAATTGTTTTTGTGGCAACTTGAAGAACATTTTTATGGTAACCAAAGTGTTTACCAATTTTTTGTAATTGGAAAATTCTAAAATTAAAATATCACTTTCGCAATGGCACATAATATATTGTATGATTTAGCTTAAAAGTTAAAATTATTTTTAAAGGGCAATGTAGAAAAGAAAACTTTTAAATTATAAAATTTAAAAGGGTATAAGAGTACATATAGTTATAACACTATGTGGGGTCACATAAATATGGACTGTGTGGTCCCACATAACATGTGCATAAGTATGTGTGTAATCTTAAGGGTAATGATTCTTAAGAATTTAAAAAAATCGTATTGAATATTATAGTGAACTCTAACGACAAACACAATTTTTAACGAAATCAAAAGTGGCTCTAAAGTAGAGAAACAAAACAATATAATATGTAGATATCTTTTAAAATAAAATATACATACGTACATGCGTTACATATATACAGTCTAAATACTGTCAAATAAAAAATACAAGATAGGAAATTAAAAATATATGATGTATGTATGTACAATAAAAATTTGTTAATGTAGCGAAAAATTCTGTGTTATTGACGCAATCATAATACAAGTGCAAAATTTATTTTGATGATAAAGTAGCCATTATGTTGTATAAAGTCCCACAAGCGTATTTTGCTGTTAACAAATAAATTTATGTTATCACTAACAATTAACTTAGATTTACTCCCAAATTATTAATATAAAGTGTATATATGTACAAGTGTATATAGCTCATTTGCTGCAATAGTGGTACAACTCAAAAAATACTATTTCTGATTATTTATAAGCGCTCAAAACACGTTTTGTCCAAAAACAACGTTTTACTAGCTTGAAAATTTTTGCTTACAATAAAATAAAAAATAATGCCATAACGAGAAACATTTACTAATTCCAACACTTTGAAATTTGTTTTTCTCAAATTTGCAAATTTTTGTGTTATGTCAGTGTTGCCGTAAATGAGCGATATATGATAAATATGTTATGTACATATTTATGATATTTAATAACTTTATATAACTATGTACATATTTATGTACATAGTTATGATATTTGACTGTTTAACTAATACATTTGAATATGAATCTGTAGATATAATTGTAGAATCTAAAGAGCACCCATAATTAATTTTATTCATCCATAATTCCTTTGATTAGTAAGAGTTGAACATATTCATATGTACATAATATGTAGGTAAGTAATCTTATGATAAAAACATTATGATAAAGTTCTGTTTTTTGACTGGCTTTTTGATTTAATATGCTCTGGATTTAACATTCAAATTCTCACTAACACAACCATAAAATACATAATTATTAATTACAATCAACTGAAAAACCGGCTAAAATTTGCAACGAAGTGATAATGACAAATGACAATAAATTTATAAAAATCGTTCGCGTTATTTTGTTATATAATAGGAAAATTTATAAAATTTATACCTAATTGTTTTTTTTTTTGTTTTTTGTTTAAAAATTTTTACTAACCTCATTTTATTGAAATAATTTATTAAATTTTAATATTAATTAAATTATTAAAAACGTACAAAAATCCTTCGAATTACCGTCAACGTTGCCCAAAATTATTGAAACAACTGAGAAATTAATGTAGAAATTGCTGAAAACTAAAAATAAAATTGAATGATAACGACCAACTGGTTCTTATCACTAAAATAAAAAAAAAAACAAACACATTTTGTATGAATTACATATGTACTTACATAAAATATAAAATACCTACATACTTACCCACTAAAATTTGAAGTATGCGCATTGTACACACATACAAACGTAGTTTACTAGAAAAAAATAATTTGATAACAAAATGTTAAAAAGATTATAAGTGACAAAACAAAATTAAGCATCAGTGATAAGATTACCTTGTTATCATTATTTTATTTATTTATTTATTTTGCTTTTAAGATATTCTTAAATAAATTGAAAACAAAAGTATTTTATTACATTAATGCGTTGCTTTTTGCGATTGTCTATTTGTTCTAAATTGCAAAGAAGCTTTAAAAATTTAATCACTTTCGTAATTGAAGTTTTTCCTATTTAAATTTATCTCAAATTGTGTGTACATGGGCAACCATATTCTCCGAGTATCCGAGTATACTCTTTGCGATAAAATTACACTAGATTTTCATATTTTTTGCTGCTACCTCTTAAATATATGCTATTTTTTGTATTGAGTTTAATTTCGTTGTAAAATAAATTTGAATCAAACCATTTTTAAAAAATTTCAACGATTTCTATCACACATAACATACATGCGCTTGTGCGAAATTCCTATATAGTATCAAAAATTGTTGAGACATAGCTAAATAACGTTTGAAAATTTTGTGCGCTTTCATCAATTAATTTTAGAGGTGACATACGTTCAACATACAAAAGCTTACTTTACATATAACGTATTATGGTAGATTACGCACAGGACGCAAGGGAGTGAAACTATTTAGATATTTTTTCCAGTTTTATTGGAAATGTGCTAAAAAACGAATTGGCATTTTAGTTTCATGAAATTTGAAATTTCTAAATTTGCAAACGTTTTTCCAGTGCACAGTGGACAAAAAATACTTCCCATATTCGTAAGTTCGAGCACACTCTATGCGCATTTATTATTTTTTTGTTTTTACGATTTATATGTTGTGCCTATGTTTGTTTCATTGTGATTTAACAAAATCTTACAAATGATTTTTACGACTATACGCATTACTAATTTTTTATTACGGTATATAAGGTGAGAATCAAACACGATTTTCTCACGTTTTATTCTATATATAGTATTCATATTGAGTAAAACGTGCGAGATCAGTTTTACGCCATATAAAAGAAAATTTAGCACTACTTTGTCACACAGTAAAATATTAAAATAATAAAATAAATAAAAAGTTTTTTCGTTGTGTAAAAAAGGATTTCCTTCCTTTTTGTTATTTTATTGCCTATTCAACTTTAAAGATAATCAGGGACTTTTATTGTTTTTAGTAGAGCCGTAAACTCTTATAATATTTTTTACTATGAACTACATCACATACATATATGCAATTAAGTTATTATACGCACATATGTATCTAGGTACTTGTTAAAATATTCGATGACATGTGTAACGTGATCAATTCAACGGGAATTCCATTTGAAACTGATTGTTAATGTTTTATTTATGCTTCACGTATGGCCATTTATATTTGTATATAGGTATATGCATATGCAGGTAATATATGTATTATTCTTCGTATATGCCTATAGCATTTTATAAATTTTATTTATAGTTTCACTTTTGGCTTTTAGTTATAAATTATGTAGAGAAATTATCTTACAAATGCATAGAAGATCACGTAATCTCAAAGTTCATGTTAATTTGCAAATTCTAGAATTGTTGTCATTTTCGGCGACAAAGATAGTGGTGACATTTTTTATTGTTATAATAACGCTGCAGTGTTGTGTTATCAGTAACGTGGTTACTAAGCTTAATTTATATAATAGGTAAATTTTTAATTATAATTATTACAATTTAAATTAATAATTAACAATATCAAATTAATGTGAAATTACTACATAAATCATAGCAGCCCTAGCTATTGATAATATAGATTATAGAATATAATAATTCTTTTAGTGCACCTATTAGTGTGGGTGCAGATGTCATCAGAATACGTTCAAATCTTTTACACATAGATGTTCCATATGGTAGAGAAAATATTGCTGAGGTAGAAAAAATATCACAAAAATTTTCTTAAATAATCAGTGTGTAATTATTATTATTAATCCAAATGTTGAATGACGCTAATAAATTTAAAACTCCAAATTAAAATATTAGTCATCATATTCATGACAACTTCAAAAACATAAAAAAACTAAAAATAAAAGGCGCATGTATTAATAAAAATTCAACAAGCGTTTTAGCGTTATTTGGCATGTCATTTTTAATATCTCTTTTTTTTAATATCTATGGTATTCTTTTTCTTTCTTAAAAATTCATTATATTTTCAAAATAATTTGGTGCCAAAGTGGCGTATGGAAAGAGTTAGATTACCAGCAAAAATGAAAATAAAATTAAAAATATTAAAAACAAAAAAATGTGTTCACAGTAAATATTTTATGTGGATTGTATAATTTATGTGTGTATGTTGGTTTATATATATGTATGTACATATAAGTATAACACTTTTTTATTTTGTTTTTTCGTTTACACATAAACAAAGAGCGAAGCAGCAGTGCGACTATCCCAATTTTTCACGACCTTTATTAACCTAACGCGATTATACAGAAATTGTTTTGGATTAGGTCGCACTAAAAAAGAAAAATATAGAAAATAAAATTCATACAAGTATGTTTATGTATGTACATATGTAAGTGGAAAACTCCACTTTATTATTAGAGTACATGGTTAAAAAAAATTACGAAAAACTAAATTAAATTTATTTTTATTGCTCATATGCTTATTATTATGTCGAGGTTTGCAGAGTCATACACACTGTACATACATATATGAATGTATGTTTAAAATTACCTTCGCCAAAAAAGAAACTCCGAACTCTCCACTCTCTGTAATAATTATTGGCAATAACGTACATTTGAAGTGACAATTTGGCTTGTTTATTAATCGGTACAATGTAAAATTGTCAAATGATCAAATATCGAAATTCTATAAATTTATCATTCAAAAGTTTGCAGCAAAAATGCGCATTCGTCGCATTTCAAATCAATATCTAGTCTATATAATTTGGATTCGAATTTGTATCACCTATAAATGCTAAAACAGAAAGTAGTTAATATTGGCAGAACTTTCATTTTGTCTTATATCATAAGTCACAATAATTATTGTTTCAATTTCTTGTTTTATTACGAATTTCGCTCTATATTAAACTTTTTGTCATATTAAAAACAAAAAAATTAATTAATTTTCTTGGTTGCTTCAACATTATAAAAACTTGTTCGCGTAACAAAACAAAAAGCCGGACAGTGAAAGTAATAATTTTGTTAATGTAAAACACAAAAGCAAAAAGCAAAAGCAAAATGCAAGTATAATAGTGAAAGAATTTTTTAACTATTGAAATATAGTAAACATAATTGTGGGGCGAATTTTACCTCAAAATATGAATGGAGAGTGTATGTTGACTAAATGATTATATTTTTAATCATCAAAAGAAATTTCAAGTGAAGAAGACCTTCATACATATCTTTGAAATATACACGCAGACTATAGATTCGACCAAATAGTGTTGATATTAAGAAGAGTATACTGAAATTTATCAGGGGCCTAGCAATAGCACTTATATAAAATTTACAAATGTATGCTTTTCCTACGTAAATATGTAAAATACACAAACTTGTATTCTTCAAAAATTAACCCGATAATCATTTCTTTCAAAATCACATCATTCTTAAGTTAAGTACTTTTAGACATAACTTTGAATCATAGATTGTATGACAAAAACTTTAATAACCCTATATAACATAAAAGTTTTAACATTTCAGGAACTCCCATAAATGAGTAATAATTGAAAAATAAAAATACACAAAAAAAACAAAACAAACGCGATCCCGAAAGCAATTCATAAAATAAATTTAATGTGTGATTATTAATCGCTCAAATTTCTCAACATAGAATGGAACAAAAAAATGCTTACATATACACAAAATCCAATTTCAAATGTTTGCACATATTAATGTAAATATCTCATACTACATATTGTTATTGTTTAACATGTTAATGTAATGTTAATATAATGTTAATATTATTGCTTATTATGTGAAGTTTTCTGATCTTGCGTTTGTTTTTAAAAAATCAGATTTCGCTATTTTAAATTGCTAAAATTGGCATATAAAAAAAATTCCCTTCCTCAACTAAAAGCAAATTACAAATTGCGGAAGCGTTAGTTGTTACCTTCAATATTAGGATGAATTATGATTAATAGTTACATACTTTATATTGCCTTCAAAAATTTTTACAGTTCTTAAAATATACTTCCTATATCTTCTGTACCATAAAATATTTTTCAACATTTAGTGACTGAAATTATGTTTAAGTTCTTAGTTTCTGAAATTATTGAGTAAGTGCCCAAAATTCTGTAAAAAAAAATTTCAAAGTTTCAAAAAATTTCGAACGAAATTCCTTGGTTAGAAAAAACTGAAAAAATAAAAAAAAAGGGAAAAATTTGATTTTTCCTAAAGTTTAAATGATTGGTATTCTGAAAGTACACAAAATACATAATCAAGTAAGGTGTTTATTTTAATACCTTTACTAGACCTTTCAGAAGCTGCCTGTTTGAAGCCTCTATCTTTTTCATACCGGAAGTTATAATCAAAAAAGCTTAGTTAACTAGAAATTTCGTGAAAATTCGTGAAAACTCCTGTATCCCGAAAACCCTTGAGATTTTGCACCTAGTTCGGAGCAAAAGTTTTACCCATTTTCGACCATCTAACCAATGGTATATGTTGTTGTATATCAAATAACAAAATCATAACATTTTAAAAAATTTCCATTTTTCTATTGCACACAAATTCTTTCTTGCAACTATAAAATGATTTTTATAAGGCATTTTATAAATTAGATGCCGTGTGGTACCTGTCATTTTTGAATAAATTATTTCAACAATATTCTGCAAAAATGTTGTATTATTTGTATTCGATCGCCATGCTAGAGCAGAGAAGTAACATTAAAAGGAACAACCAACAAAGAAAACAAAAACAACTTAACAGTGCTCAATGTTGTTTTACATTGTGTTTTATAACAGATTTATTGTTATATTTTGAATATCGTGCATAAGCGGACTAAATAGTCGGCTTTACTTTAAAATACCCCATATATAAGAGTGGAAGAAAAACGTAATATGGTAGTGAAAAAAAGTGGCGCAAAACATAAAAAATAATAAGAAGAAAAAGAAGCAAAAACTACGAAAATTGAAACGTTCATTCATTCAGTTTTGAGCTCGCATTCAAATCGGTTTATTCATTAGCGCAAAAAAAAAATATCGGATTACAGATTCAAAAAAAGAAAATTAAATCATAACGTTATTTTTTGTACTTTGAAAATTTTGAATAAAATTTTTAAACAAAGGCAAAATACAAAATAAAAAAAACTAACAGAAAAAAGATTTTTAATCGCGCAAATTAAACACTTTTATAACGCAGTGACTACTCAATAAAAATAAAAATCAGAATTATTGTAACAGCAATAAAATTATGGAAAACAGAAATATGCAACAATAAAAACGTGTGAAACGTTGCGGTTCTTTTTTTTTGTTTTAAAGAGTCGTGCGTGGCGCGACTTTGTATCGAATACGATTACAACTTATTCGCGATTATTCAAAGCAATTTATGGTCAAGATTTTTAATTTATTAACAAGTTAAGAAAATTTTAATTTTTATGAATATTTTACAGAATTTTATGGAAGAGATTTTAAAATTAATTGCACTGTAATAAAACAACAAAATTAAGGTGTTAAATGTGTTATACGATGCACAATATCAAAATTTTTATTTTAACTTTTTAGTTTAAATTAAGCACATCGCTGCAAAATGCAATCCATTCTCACTTAAAATTTACCTTATAAAAAATTAATTGTGAGCAGGTGGCCAATAGACCGTGATTTCCTTTAGTTCTTTTGCATAATTTTAAGATATTTTATTTTCGGAACGGAAAGTTAAATAACAAAATTATTATAGTAATTGTGTTTATTGTTTACATATATGCGCATATTGTAATGCAAACCCTGCATATATTTTAAAAACGTGATTGTCAAAAAGAAAAAAATGGAATAATTTTTATTTTAAAAAAGTGGAAAACAAAAAAAAATGTGTGTTTCTATCTAGCGAAATATAAAAAAATTATAAAAAAATTTAAAATATAAAATGCTAAATTGAAATTTAATAGTCAAATTTTTAAGAATTTCTAATTGAAAACAGATGAGGTCGAACTTTATACTTCATTAAAATATGAATATTCTTAGATATATTCTGCTACCCAAATATTCTAATTTAGTGCAAGGTAAGTAAGACAATGTTGGATTGTAGAAATTTTTAGTTTTAAGTAATTAATATATTAGTAGTACAATTATTAAAATTAATATAAATTTAACTATTAATAGCACCATTTTACAAGAAAATCGCAATTAATTTATGTGTTGACGTTTTTCATTCCTATTTTGCATATAGAATCCTTGATGATGACGTCATTGTATGACTTTAATTACAATAATTTAAAATTACTGAAAAATTTAATTTATTAACAAAATTAACTTGAATTTTTTCGAAAACCATTCGAAAATTGGAATGTATAAGTAGATCAAACATGTAAAAATAAAATAAAACTGCAGTGAAGGTTTATGAAAAAGATAATTAAAGTTTAATGCATCTATAATTTCATCGCTATATCAAGTAAGTATATGTGAAATTTGGCTGCGTTCAAATGATTTATCGCCATATTAAAATGTTACACTTTCTGGTCAGCGAATTATTAAAATGAAAAAACCACC